AACCGATTGCCATGTTTAGGCATCACCATTCGTAGTCCTACATCCCACTCCTCTATCCCTCGTCCCTTCCCACAACGTCTACCTTCTCGTCTAGTTTCCTACTACTCCCATCTTACCTCTAGTCTCTGGTTTTGTTGCTGGGGGGGTGCCACACTTCCTGTGACACCCTGCAGGGTAATGTACCCCTATTCCTCACCTTCTCTTCCTCATACCCCATCTCCCCTCTGGAAGTGCAAGTTTCCCACATGATCCTCCGGTAACCGCGCGTTGACGCTATTGAGGATGGCAAGGGAGGTCATTTGTATGAGACTTGCGGTAGCGCAGACGGGCTGAAGGCTTCTGAAAAGTCAATCCACTGCATACTTCTGCACTGCAACGAAGTATATTATGACTCCATACTCGTTCCCCTCCGATGTTCGTCTTATAAATCTGAAAGAGGACATGTCGGGCAGGGGGAAGGCCTTATATTCCACCCCCACCCATTCAGCCACATGCCTCAGGACGTCCTTCTCTTGAGGCGGCTTATTCACACTAAAGATCAGCACCTCGTTGGGGTCATCCATCAACAGCATGATCTCTCATTTTTCTCCAGTCGGTGATGGGGCAGATATAACACTCCCCTCACGCACAATGGTATCCAGGCCGATCTCTGATCGCTCCTGCCTCGCCAACTCCGTCAACGAGCTGCTCTGTTGCCAAGCCACCCTCTCTCGTCCCGGATCCTCTCCCATAGTAGCTTCGCAGTCTTGCGGCGCTTGACTGTCTGCTAACGAGTCCTTATGTGCTACTTGCTCCTCCTCGTCTTGTTCGTCCCCTTCGTCCTTCCCCTTGAAATCCCCCTCCCCCTCTTGCTCACCATCCCCCTCTCCCTCTTGTTCTACATCCCCCGCTCGCCCCTCCAAACTTTTGCTCCGGCTTCCCATCGTAGCCGAAGATCCGCTGTCCTCCGTTTCCATTGTGCCCGAAGAAGCATCGTCCTCCTGATCAGTTTCGGTCGTTGCGATACCCTTGTGGCATACTGCGTAGCCACACGGGCCCTACAAGGCCAGGCCCGGACATTCAGCCTAAAAGCCTAAAACTTAGGGCTTACAGGCCCCGTTCATTTCAGCCTGGATGCTGAAAAACGAGGGCCTGCAGGCCCTACCTCGTTTCAGCCTATTTCTGCGTCTTTTCAGACCCAGAGTTTTCAGCCTGAAACGGAGGGCCATTTTCAGGCCCTCATTGTTTCGACCTGC